CGTGAATTAATTCAGACCCCAAAACCCCAAAACCCCATGATGATAAAAATTGTTAATTAAAGAAATCAAAATAGCTATTTATTTTGTTCATTTGCGTCTTCTTGCTTATGGTTTAGCTTACTCAGGATTGTCTAAAGTGTAGACATATTTGTCTTTAGTGCCTGTCACAATCACATTTCTTTTACTTCCATTAACTGCAATTAGATGAACAGTTTCATCATAACCAATCTTGATACCTTTGTAATATGCCTCTTTATAAAATCCATTCTCTTAAGACAAGGTCAAGTAGAGATAATCTACAATCTAAAAATGCTTTTCAGTCATTACCATAAGATACCATTACGATGATTTAATTCCGTTTGTTATACACTAATTTACTCCTATTTTGATGATGTTATTAATAAATTTGAATTTCTTAATTGGATCTTGTCTGTCATACTCATTTAAAATAGCTATTTTTTAATTGTTCTTCTTTGATACCACAAAGTAATGTGGGACATTTTCATCTTGTATGTAAACAATCTAATTTATCAACCTAGTTTATCTACCATTAAATATCCTGTGAGTATTTTTTATTTATTTTGAAACTGTGTCAAATTCATTTACTTGCCCATAATCATCTCCAATATACAATTTAATTGTCGGCTAGTCACCTTTGCTGAACCTGCTTGTAAAGCAAGTAAATTATTTGAAATCAGGAATAGTTAAAATCGACAATGTAGCCAGTGTTAACGGGTTAAGAGAATATACATTATTTTTATCCAGAACATAAATAATATCCTATTCCCCTTTTTGCATATACAAAAAATCAATAATTTCGCTATTCCCAACTAAATAATAGATATAAACTCTAATTATAATTACTTTATATTTGTCTCTAGTCTTACATGAAATATTTCTTTTAAGCTTGATTGCTTTTATAAATCATAGAAGTTATATTTCGTTTATCTAAGAAAAAGAATTTACCTGAATTCCCTCCAGACGTTTAAATAATGTTCGTGATTGGAGCGCCTTGATGCTAGAGTTTACTCTTGTAAAGGGGTTCTTAATCAAACGTTGAAAAGATGTAGAAATGAAATAAGTCATCAATCACACAATATTAGTTTTGAGCAAATAGTGCACAAAAGGCCGTAATATTGCTTGATAGTAAAGCTTAGTACTCAAACTAGAGTTTGCTTTATGAGTTGTTTTACCTAATTTACATTTAGAATTTTTTCTAAATTGCTTAAGAATGATAAGAGCTTCCTCTTCCTACTACAGAGTTAGTCCTACTAAAATTAGGAACTGCAAAATTATTGTGCCTTTCATCATCTTAAAATTCTCAAGAAGATCGCCTGTCAAGACTTGGTTACTTTTAGCTCTAAATTTATTTAAGCGAGGGCAAGTCCGATGTTTTTTATCTTTTATTCTGTCCTTCTTGTACTATAGATTATTATTAATGCTATATCTAATCCTCATTATCTGAGAAAAACACACTTCTTTCTGGGTTTCGATCATACTCAAACTAGTCTTCAACATGATCATTATCTTATGCATAACTTCTTTTGCCAGTTATATTATGATTTACGACAGAATTATTATACATTGTTGAGTTTGATGATGATAGTCTCCTATTTTGGCCATTTTCTCTATCATCGTTTATTCTAGGAAATCCTTTTAAGTCATTCTATTGTCTAATCTCTTCAACTGCGCTTTAAGCTTTAAATGCCAGATCGAGATTTGCTGGGAGTAAACTTGGCAATAGAGATGGCATTGAAAGATTTTATTAATTCTATTACGGTATATTTTGATAATAATTCTTCCATATATTATCACAAGACTTAACTTCTTCAAAATTGTTGCCATTTTTCTCGTGCACCTAAGATTGGACTATATCCTTATCAGGAATTTTCAAAAAGTTATCTACTCTCAATGGTGGCATATCAAAGTTTTAGAATAAGTTGTCCTATGAGTCGTCATCAAGGATATTATTCATTGGAAATTCCTAATTGAGCTACAATAAGTCATCATTCAGTATATCAAAGTCATAAATGACTTTCCTGATTTAGGTTTACAATCTTTCAATCTTAGATTCCATATCTTTATTGCCTTTTATTTTTCTAATTATCTCACATGCTCCTTTGGCAGTCATTTCCCCATCACTATCATCTCCATTAAGCAAGCTTTCAAGATTTTCTATATACTTTTTATAAAGCTATTGACTCTTCCTATATACATCTTATGATAGAGAAGCAACAATTAATGGTATTTTGCTTTTCATGTGTTCTTTCAATGACTCTTTGAACACAGAAACCTAATTAGATAATTTATCTCTATATGAAGTGAGAGATTCGAACTTATGTGACCTGTGCTCTCTTATTAAATCCATCTCAAAAATGTAGTCACTTGGATTCAGATTCCCATTTTTTGAGGACTATTCACAAGTATTGCAAAACATGATAATAAAATGAATATTTAATGATAATTTTAATATAATTGGGATGCTCATTTATTCATTCAGAAGAAATTTAAAGCATAGATTTTAAGAACCATGGGGTTTTGGGGTTTTGGGGTTTTGGGG